CGGGGCCGGGCCAAGGGGGCGGGACCAAGGGGTGGGCCGCGTTCTCCAAGTCCGGGCTCAGTTTATCTGCCCGGTACTGGGATGTTGATTTTGAGTGAGCGACGCTGCTCACTACTGCCGAGGTTCCACTTCTGGAACACCTTCCGCCCTCCCTCCGTCATTCTCCTTTAAACTCTAGGTCACATCGGACATTTATTATATATTATTTTCCTTTTCTTTAAGGCACTGAAAATTAAACCCAGATCTTTGCCCTGAGCTACATCTCCAGCCCTTTTTTTAGTTTTTATTTTATTTTATTTTTCTATTTTGATATAGGGTCTCTCGCTGAAGTTGCTAAATTATCCAGGTTGTGATCGATCTTTCAATCCTCCTGCTTCAGCCTCCCAGAGTGCCAGGATTATAGGCATGCACCACCGGGCCAGGCTTTATTTTCCTTTTTTTTTTTTTTTTTTTTATTACTGTTCGGGAAGCTGTTCTTGCGCCTATACGCCTTCAAAGCTGCATTATCTATTAAGATGGTCTGCACCTTGCATATTTACTAGAAGTAGTTGGTTTGTTTGAATGATAGATATTGCAAATATCTATCATTATCAACGCTGGTTCTGGAGGTCTCCTTTCACAATAAAGGACAGAGTGTGGCTGTCTTGGTTACTTTTCTCTCGTTGCTGAGACAAAATACCCAACACCCAAAATTAAGGAAGGAAAGGTTTATTTACCTTACAGTTTGTGGAGGTTTCAGTCCACACTTGGCTGGCTCCAAGGCAGAGTGGCACATGGCAGAAGGCAACCATTCATGGTGGCAGAAGATAGCAAAAGCAACAAAAGCAAAAGGAAGGAGTGGCTGCAAGCAGCCTCTTTCTCTCCTTTACACTGTATGCAAACTATCTGCCCCAGGGCAGGTGTAGCACTCACACCCATAATCCTAGCATTTGATCATGGATCAGTCATAAACTCTAAAAGTCCCCCCCATGACTGCATGAGGCTTTGGGGAGGACATCCAGACACAAACCATAACAGTGGCTTAAAATTCTAATCATTAGAATTTGACAAATGAGATTATTTGTTTTTGGTGTTTTGGGGTTTTTTTGTTTTTTTCTAGTACTGGGAATCGAACTCACGACCTCGCACTTGCCAGGCAGGTGCTGTGCTGCTGAGCTAAATCCCCAGCCTCGAGATTGTTATTTATTTATGTTGTATTTTGGGGAAGCATTCATCTGACAAATACAACTGAGTACAAATATGAT